GCCTACACACAAAGAACATACTGTACCAGCGGTGAGGGTTGGCTAGACTAGCAGGCAAAAAAGAAAAAAAAGGAAAAAAAGGAAAGGAAAAAAAAAGAGGGAGCATAGGAGGAGAGAAAGCAAGGGCTGCTGGGGGAGAAAAGGTGAAAGGAGTGACATTCTGGGTAGCAGCTGTCAATTCGGCGGACACGAAGTTCAACAACAACGCGAGAAACGAAGGCGCTCTCTCTCGTTCGAACGGAGTCGAGACAGAAATATTCAAATAATATGGTCAAAATTTCATTTTGAACGAGCAAACGTGCATTTTTGATCTTGTTTGCAACAATTTGTGTTAGCGGATAAGCTAAGAGAGAAAAGAAGACGAGGGGGGAAAAAGCGGGGTGTACATGTGCATCCAATAGTTTTTCCTATATAAATGTTCCCCGAAAATTCAACCATGATGTCATCATGAACCTGTTGTGAACCCAACTCTGTCAACTACCATTACCGTCTCATTCCCTCTCCGTTCCCACTTTCCAGCACGGCCTCTCCATCTCCTTCCACTCTGTCCCCATCTTGTTCTTGGACTTCTTTATCTTTCACCATGCAATGTTGTCTGGCTGCATTTTTTCTTTTCTACTCATGCTGCATATGCTGCTACACCCGACCCCCCCAATCCACTTTTACTCCCTCTCTGAATCCAACCCCCAAATACACCAACACACACAGATACTGCTCACAGACATTTGGAGAGTCTCTGGTATAACAAGGACAGTTTTAATCAGAACAAGCTGGCATATTTTGGCCAAGACCTCAATCAGAAAGAAAGGAGAAGGAGGGAGAGAGAAAAAGTGAACAGGGGCACACAGAGGGTAGTGGAGTGTGAGACAGGGAAATAAGAAAAACAGAGGGAGGAAAAAGGAGACAGTGGGCGGATGGGAGGGTGAGGTAGGGATTGAGTGGTTTGAAGAAGTTTGAGCCACATGTGGAAGTGATTGTCTAATTACAGCAGATATGTTTAAGTGTTACTGCCTGCAGGACAAATGCTGATTGGAGGGTGCAGCACCGTGAAAATGAGATGATTGGACGAGGAAGAAATTAAGATGGATAATTGGTGGAGGAGGGGGCAAGAGGAGGAGAACCACACTGGGAGAAGTGCTAGGGTGGCTCCTGCAATATTCTCTGTCCGAGTCTGAATAGAAATCAAATTTTTTTTCTTCCAGTTCAGGTGGTGTCAACATAGCAGCTCCCTCAGGAGTGCTGAAGGCAAAAAGCTTCAGCCTGTAGATGGTACTAAAATGAGACAGTACACAAAAACTGAACATACACCTATGCACACCAGCAGGCGTAACATTAAAACCACTGACAGGCAGGTGATGTAAATAACACTAATCACTTGGTTACAATGTAACATTCTGCTGGGAAATCTTTGGTTATGGTATTTATGTATGTGGGACATGTAACCCCATTTTAATCACAGTCAGTATAGACGATGGAAGTATGTTCTCAGATCACAGGAGCCTACCACAACAGGTACACCCCCCCCCCACCACGGCCTTGACAGAGGCCGTGGTGCTAACCCAGCCTCCATGCTTCACAGGTCCCAATTCAACCAACGTCTGTGGGACTGAAACCAGCCAAATCCATGGAGGCTCCACGCAGGACAGCAGAGGACTCTGCCAATATCTGAGACACCACAGGAGACCCCCAGAGGTCCTTGTGCCCTAAAGAGTAAGTATTTTGAAGACACTAGGAGGACCTACACAATATAAAACATGGTTTTAATGTGGCTGATTAATGCCCAATGCAAGACAATTTGTTTCAGGTGGAAAAGGCTTTATGGATTGCTTAGCTACAGCAAGACATTATACCGGAGGTAACTGGATTATGTTTTCCCCTGGTTTCAAGTGTTTTGCTAAGATTTTTTACCACAAAGACAAATTAAATTAAAATTAAATTGCGACAAGTTCAACGATACATCATGTGAAAAAGAAAGTGTTCACAGGACTCTGTGCTTCTGTCAAAAAATTACGTACACCCTTACTACTTCCATATGGATGACAAAGGTAAATAGCAACTAAGTGCTGATAATCAGATGGCTTGATTGATTAATTGATCCAGATCCATAGGAGGTTTGACCAAAATATATCTATAAAAAAATCTGGAAATCAGGTCTTTGTTAACACAATGCCACAATCTTCCTAGGAACAGACGTCCCAGCAAATTTACCCCAAGCTCTGATTGCACAGAGAATCATCAGAATTCCAAGGAGCCACATCTATGGTGTGTTTAGAAGAACTACCGAGGACCAGGACGTCTGCATCTAAACAAACGACAACTTCTAAAAGAACGGTCCTCGTCTACTCTTATATGTGAGGAAATCTTTTTACCCTGCACAAAATCATATCAGTTTGCACACAAAAATCACCATCAGATTACGAAACATGCGCTCCGGCCTATTTTGTTCTAACCACCCAGCATATGTTAGTGAACCACAGTCATTCTGAACCTAGAGGCTTGTGCGGTCTGTATGCAATCTGCTACACCCCTATTTCTTTATATAAGTAAACATGCCTATCTTATAAGAGACAAGAGAAAGTCCAACTGAAGAAACCTAAACGATTCTGTCCAAAGAGGAACCCAAAACATACACACGGCAGCCTTAAATGTTTCCACCGGAGTGAAGAAAGTTTAGTAAACAAACAAGTAAACAATAACCCCCAAAAAACAACAAGCGAGACTCCAGCTGGAATAATGAAGTTTCGGAATATTGATTTCCCCTGAGATACTCGCTGTGGCTCAGGTAAAACCCCCATAAATAAATAAAAAAAAGTTTGAATATCAAAGATTATATGAAAAACGACTACAAGAGAATGTAAGAAACAAGTGGAGGGCAAGGATCATGTGATCTGTCAGATGAGAAAACAAATAACACAAAATGCACACGGACCACCCCCCAAACATCCGGATTCTTCAGCATCCATGAGGTTAGGACTAAGAAATTAGGCCGGTATGTGATGACATCCAGCAATGATAAAAGTCATTTGTAATGAAATATAACATATTTTGAAATAAGGTAGATAAAGAATACTGAAATTCAACTATTTAGTAGTTAGTTTGCTTTGCATGCAATTCATTTATTTATTTTTTCATATAATTGTAATTCTGATCATTTTGTGGCTCATTGCATTCTGGAAAACTATAACTAATGATAAAAGGGCAATAATAACAACAACAATAATAATAATAATACTTGTTTTTATTATTATTATTATTATCAGTAGTAGTAGCAGTAGTGGTAGCCGTAGCAGCCAGCCAGGCCTTCAATATTTCAGGTAAACAAATTCAGGTATGAAAATATTGACAAACAACTGATTGGTGTGTGAAACGTTTGTACGCACTACTTTTTGAGCAGCATCAAACTTACAACACAATGGTTGAAAAACAGAATCAAGGTGTTGCAATGGCTCAGTCAAAGTCCAGACCTCAACCTGACTGAAATACTGTGTCGGGAGCTTAGGAGAGCTGTGCATAAACAAATGAACCCAGGCAACGCTGTGAAGAGGAGAGGGTCTCCTGATTAAGCCGTACAGATAACGATTACTTCAAGTTATTGCTGCTGACTGTGGTTCTACGAGCTACTGAATCATGGGGTGTACTCAGTTTTTCACAGGACTACACAGAGTCATGTGAAAAACTTTCTTTTTCACATGACTGCAAGTTTCTTGCACAGCCTGTGACAGTTCACTTCAACACATGATGAACAAATGGGAGCTCCAGTACCAGGGTTGAAAGGTACATATTCTTCTGTTAAATATTCCTCAGACCTTCTGTGATAACACTGCCTGCTTACCATTTACACCTTGTCGCTGTCTAAATTATACTGGAGCATGCAATGATCAGTGGCTGACTGTTGTAAACATATATGGATATATGGATCTGACACAGCAACGTAGGATTTCCATTCACTGGAAACTGGATGCTGTGACAATCTACAGCCGCGGGTCTCATGCTCACATTTTTTTCATAGAGTTTGTGATAAAAGTATAAGTAAATGCTCCACTAGTCTGCAAAGTAATTAACCAATATTACACTAAAGGTTAAATGAGTTCAGAAGATTCCTTTAGTTTCTTTTTTGGTCTTTTTTTTTTGGCCTTATCATCATCATCAGCAGCAATCAACTTTCTTCGCTGTGTACTGAAACAAAGGTAAATGCATTAAACTGCTTGGATGCAGTGGCATTGGATGTCCCCCTCAGGATAATTTGGCACCTCTTCACAAGAAGCCGCTTGTCAACAGATCTCCGCAGATCTTGGCTGCCTACTGCCGTGCCTGTCTGCCTGTCACAAAATGTATCCCCTCTGGAAGGTAAACAGGGGCAAGTATCACACATAGACTGTTACTGCTGTCATAATATTAAACTTTGTTTTCCAGGTACTGTTTATTAGTTACCCTGGATGCTGCTTAGAGTGTCCTAAGGACCTATATGGGCCCAAATGAAGCTAACGATCATTCTTCCAGTGTACCGCTGCTCTTTATCGGCATGTTTACTCTCTTTTATTAGCTGTTCCCAAAATTCCTCTCAAATTTTCCACCAGTTGTAGCTAAATATATTTCAGTTTAAATTAAACCACTTCACTGCACAGCACAACCTGATATACAAAACGAGTTTACCTAACTGCTTTTTATTGGCTGATTTAAACTGCCAGACACTTCTTCTTCTGCTGTGCACGTCGGCTACATGAACTGCACTGCCTTCAAACTCTGCCCTTCTTCTGTCCTCAATTTGATATTGACACTTCAGATTAGTAAAGTCTGAACCTGAGAAAACCACTTATTACATCACAAAAAAAATATTATTTTATTTACAATCCATCACACTGTTAATGTTAGCACTGTTGTTTGAAGGTAAAGTTGTTATATACTGCAGTTATTACTTCACTTTCTTCTGAATGGCTTTGTTTACGTTACAAAAAGTATTTCAAAACTCTTTAATTTACAGTGAGTACCTTTAAACTCACCTCTCATCCCCTGCAGGGGAAACAAATCTCCATCACTGATGGCTCTCTTCACTGTGATAGCCATCAAAAAGGAAACTGCTGCAGGACATTTTGGGCCTTAACATGAAAGTCACTGCCACTCACTGCACTTCATCTACAAAGGGAAAGAAAGAGACACAGTGTAAATTTGGATGCATATACTTTGCCTTTAGTTTGTTAGGCTTTATTTGTTCTATCTGTATTGTGCCCGAGAGGCAGGTGGAGGATGATTTTGTTACATAAATAGAGGCATTGATGTCATTTGAAAGGTTTTTCACAGTCCTGTGAAATAATAAGTACATATTTACTGCTTCCATAGGAATTAAGACGTTAAGTAGCAGCTAGATGCTGCTAATCAAATTGCCTTGATTACCTGATCATCATCAGCAAGCATGGGCACCTCTATGAAAGCTGACATTTTGGCAGCTTGTTGGTCTGGAACAGCTGCGTGTTAACATAATGCCACAGTTTTACCGAGAGTGGACGTCCTGGCAAATTTACCCCAAGGTCAGACCCTGTAATGCCCAGAGAAACTGCAAAAACAAACCCAAGAGCTAAATCTCAGACTCTACAGGCCTCAATTATCATCACAAATGTTAAAGTTCATCACAGTACAATTAGAAAATTAGAAAAGACTGGACAAGTTGTTTGAAAGGGATGCAAAGAGAGAGCCTCTTATTAAGTTGAAGAAATCACAAGACTTGTGGAACATTGTCTTCTGGACAGATGAGAGCAAAGGGAAGATGGCTGGCTGTACAGCACAGCACCGTGATTGGATTACATCATACACCGCACATCGTCACAAACACCTCATAGCAACAGTCAAGCACGGTGGTGGGGGGTTGATGATTTGAGCCTTTACTGCAGACACAGGCAACTTGCAGTCACTGAGTCGCCATGAACTGTATGTCAAAGTATTACAGAGTCAACTGTGAGGTCATCTGTAAAAAAGCTAAAGCTTGGCCAGAACACAGCCATTACAAAAGGAAAATGATCCCAAGCACAGCAGCAAATCTACAACAGAATGGCTGAAAAAGAAAAGACAAACCGTTGCCAGACCTCAGGATGATGAATTCTGTGGCAGTACCTTAAGAGAGCTGTGCAGAAACAAATTTTAGCAAACCTCAATGAAATGAAGCAATGCTGCAAAGACTCTGGGCCAAAATGTCTCCACAATGATGTGAGAGACTGAAAATGATCACTTCAAATTATCGCTGCTAAAGACGGTTCTGCAAGCTACTGATCACAGGGTGTACTTTGATTTTCACAAGGCTGCAGAGTCCTGTGAAGACTTTCTTTTTCCTGACTGTACTCACAGCTCCTTGACTTACTACTCAAATCCACACAAAATACATGCAAGAAAGGGGCAACGCTGTAGCATCTCCACAGTGTCGACATAGTTGTGTAAACTGGGTAAATTCAGTGGGGAAATAATTCCTGCATTTTCATTCAAGCTTGAAACGTACCTAAATATGACACTATAAGAAAGGGCCAATATAACAGAATGAACTGTCACAGAGGAAGCAGTGGGTGATGGATGACAGCCCCAGGCACAGCTGTATTCATTCCCCCTGGAGTCACCTGCAGCAGTAAAAACATACCACTCAAACTGTAAATGCAGTACTGTCTGTTTTGACAACCCTCTAACACACGGGGCCTCGCCATATGGCATGCAGACAATACAAAGAGATTTACACAGCTTTTTTTTATTTATTACCCTCTCTAATTAGAGCCCTGATGCTAATGTACTGCATCCCAAATTTAGTTCTTCTTGCATTTCTGCTATATACAAATACATCCAGTACCTCAAGTATGTTCAGTGCGAGGGCAGCTTAGGCTGATAGATAGTATTTCATCAATTTAAAACTTAGAGGGAGTTAGAAAGGTGGATAAAATGGCCAGGATTAACTGCTGAAAATACTTTAGTGGACTTACTCACGTAAGCTAGCACTGCCACCTTGAGGGAAACAAATTATATTAAAACATATTTTAAAACCACAGGTCTGACGGGGGAGTTGAGGGGATTTGAGGGTTGTTTTTCTTTTTTTGGTCTGGCATTATTAGACTCTGTAAAGCTGATTGACAATTGGGTGACCCAAAAACCCCAAAAGATGAACTAGTTTTCTTTCTAAAGTGCAAGTTTTAAAAATAGAGTCCCTACTAATATACAAACAGCTTTCCCATCTCTGACACATTTTCACTCTTATCATATGCTACATAGCGGTGACCTGATTCTTTGTGGGGACAAAGGCAAGACCCACATCGGTCCACTTCGCCAGAAGGACCTGCCAGGATTTTAACCACACGGTGGCGCTGTTTAATTGCGTATTACACTACTACTAATGCAGGTTTTAAACTCCCTCTCAATATACATAT